AAAAAAAAAAAAAAAAAAGACCTACCCACACTCAGAGAACCACATATTTCCTTCTCCTTAAAGAACATATTAACGTGTTAATGTTCGTTATATTTTTGTTAGAGTAACCCAGAATTTACAAATGCTCTGAAAGTAGGAACTCTTTTTTTTCTCACCTTTGTATTCAGTGTTTAAATCTTAGTACATGAAACATAGTAGGGGCTCAAATTCTTGATGAACAAGTAAATTAACAAAAGGACAGAACTATGGTTGAAAGGCAAAAAGAGCAGGAAAGTGGTCTTATACAGGATTGGGCAGTAGACAGTAGTGGTTAGGAATAGTACTTGGTTCCAGGAGATCTTGGTTTAAGTACCAGCTCCGTTACTTGTATGTCTGTCTTTAGGCAAGTGATTTACTTCACTGGGCTTCAGTTTCTTCATCATACTTGTTCATCCTTCAGTAAGTTATTACATCTGCTATTTACCAGGTTCTGAGGATACACTAGTGAATAAAACAAATATTCTTAGGCCTTTGGAGCTTTCTTCTAATGAAAAGACAATACTAAATATCCTAAAGTATATGGTATGGTAGATCATAGTACTCGCTTTAGAAAAAATAGAATGGGATAAGGTGTGTTGGGGGTCCTATGCTTGGGGAAGGAAGGGTGGTCTCTGTAAAACCTCACTAAGAACCTGGCAATGGAGCCAGTACTCGAAGAGACCAAGGGAATAAGTAACATGACTACCCAGGCAGAGAGAACACCCAGTATAAATGCTTGAGAGAGAAGCATGCCACGCCTGTTCAAACCAGTAGAGTTTGTTACTAGGAAAGTGAACCATACGTGAGTTAGATAGATGAGGGCTTAGGGGTAGGGTGCAAATCATGTAGGGCCTCAGAGATCTTTACAGGGACTTGGGCTTTTACTGAGTTAAAAGAATGCCATTGGATACTTTGAAACCCAGAAGTGACCTTTGACTTACATCTTAATAGGATTGTTCTGCATGTTCATTGTTGAGAATAGACTGAGAAGCAAGGGGGATTTGCTAGGAGACTATTGCAGTAATCCAGGCAAGAATGATGGTGTCTCAGATCAGGGTGATTAAGATTGAATTAATAGTATTCTTTTTTGGTGAAGGGAGACAGTCTCACTGGGTAGAGTGCCATGACATCATAGCTCACAGCAATCTCAAACTCTTTGGGCTTGAATAATCCTCTTGCCTCAGCCTCCTGAGTAGCTAGGACTACTTGGCTAGTTTTTCTGTTATTTTAGTAGAGACAGTCTCACTCTTGCTCAGGCTGGGTCTTGAATTCAGTGAGCTCAGATAATCTACCTGCCTCAACCTCCCAGAGTGCTAGGATTACGTGCATGAGCCATCGCACCTGACCGAATTAATAGTGTTCTTAATAAATGGGATGTGGAAAAAATAAATAAATAAAAATAAAATAAATGGGATGTGGGATCAGAGAGGGAGAAGTCAAAGCTGACTTGTGTAGTTGCCCTGAGGAATTGGAAGGGTAGTTGCCCTTAACTGAGATAAGGATGCTAATTCATGTCAGGAACTTGTGAATGTGGGACAATAATAATACCAACTTTAATGGAAAAGCAAGTATCCAATGTATTCAATACTAATACAAAGCCAGTAGATGAACCCACCCAGTACAGACCCACACAAGAGAGAAACTCAGTTTAATGCAAGTTGGGGGGGAGGGTGGAGGAGGATAGGTGATTGGTATACTCTTACCTAATGGATACAATGTAAGGGTCAGGGTCAGGTGCTTCTTACAATGGGGACTTTACCTAACAGATGTAAACATTGTAACTTAAACATTTGTGGTTTCATAATCTGAATTTTTTTTGTTTTTATTTAGTTATATTTTATTTATATATTTATTGGAGACAGTCTCACTTTGTCACCCTGGTGCCATCATCACAGCTCACAGCAACCACAAACTCTTGGGCTTGAGCAATCTTCTTGCCTCAGCCTCTCAAGTAGCTAAGACTACAGGCATGTACCACAACACCTGGCTAATTTTTCTATTTTTTAGCAGAGACAGAGTCGTGTTCTTGCTTAGGCTGGTCTTGACCTCAAGAGCTCAAGAAGTCCCACCTGGACCTCCCAGAGTGCTGGAATTATAGGAGTCAACCACTGTACTCAGTCCCTCATAATCTGAAATTTATAAAAAAAAAAAAGAAAGAAAGAAAAAATAATACCAATTTTATGGGTTGGTTATGAAGAATACTACAGTATATAATAGCTAGATATTAATTTGTATTTGTTTCTGGAGAGATGAATCTGGCTTTCATCAGATTCTTAATGGGATAAAGGAGTACTAGATCTTGATCTTCAAAAAGATCGTAAACCACTGAGTTAAAATAATGTTTGCCCCTCATGTGATCTCATACCAAATGTGTCTTTATTTCACTAATAAGCCCTGTGACATATGATAAATTATACTTTTATATTGAGCAGCTCAGGAAGAAAATCTGGTAGTCAAATAAAACTATTAATTTATATACCTTGCTATTATATTAAAATATTTTTTTCTTTAGCCAAGCATGGTGGCAGATACCTATAGTCTTAGCTATTTGGGAGACGAAGGCAGGAGGATCACTTGAACCCAGGAGTTTGAGGTTGTTGTGAGCTAGGCTGATGCCATAACACTCTAGCCCAGGTAATTTTTTTTTTTCTGTCTAAAAAAAAAAATTTCCTCAGGTGAGTAGCCAAACATTCTTCTTTGCTTTTTCCAAATATCCTTCAAAGGAAGGAAAAAAATCTATGCAGTTATGTTATTAAAACTGGCACCAGCCACATACACCAAGGCTGGCGGGGTCAAACCCAGCCAGGGCCAGCTAAACAGCAATGACAACTGCAGCAAAAAATAGCTGGATGTTTTGGTGGACGTCTGTTGTCCCAGCTAACTTGGGAGGCTGAGACAAGAGAATCGCTTAAGCCCAAGAGTTTGAGGTTGCCATGAGCTGTGACACCACGAGGGCAATATAGTGAGACTCTGTCTCCAAAAAAAAAGCCAGTGAAACTCCTCTGAATGGTATGTATTATTAAGTTTTTGGTTAATAGAATTTTCGTTAGATTAATTCTTTAAAAATGAAACTACTTTAATTTAATTTCTCCATTTTTCTCCTAAGAATTGAAAAAGTATGGGTTCGAGATGGAGCTGCATATTTTTATGGCCCCATTTTCATTCACCCAGAAGAGACAGAGCATGAACCCACAAAAATGTTCTACAAAAAAGAAGTATTTCTGAGTAATCTGGAAGAAACTTGCCCCATGACATGTATTCTAGGTAAGTATTTGTGCTTTTTTATTTAATCACATTTATTCCATAAAAACTGATTGAATACTGCTGTGCTAGGCACTGTTCTGGGTGTTACGTATATAGCAGTGAAAAAAAATCTAAATCTCTGCTCTCTTAAAGACTTACATTGGGGCAGAGGTTGGGGAGTCTGTAAATAAATTAAAAAATAAGTACATAAAACATCAGGTGGTAATTAGGGCTATGAATAAAAATAAAGCAGTATAATAGGATAGAGAGTGGTATTGAGGTAAGGTCAGACAAAACTTCACTGGTAGTTGACTTGTAAATAGAACCCTGAAAGAAGCAAGGAAGAAAACCATTTGCATATCTGAGATTTTACTCCCTTTAGACACAACAAATGCCAGATGCAAAGGCACATTTGAGAAACAATAAGAAAGCTGCTGGTATAAGGTCAGGCACAGTGGCTTATGCCTGTAATCCTAGCACTCTGGGAGGCTAAGGTGGGTAGATTGCCAGAGCTTAGGAGTTCAGACTAACCTAAGCAAGAGTGAAACCCCAACTCTAAAAATAGCTGGGCATTGTGGTGGGAGCCTGTAGTCCCAGCTACTCTGGAGGCTGAACCAAAAGGATCACTTGAGTTCAAGAGTTTGAGGTTGCTGTGAGCTATGACACCACGGCACTCTACCAAGGGCATCAAAGTGAGATTCTTTCTCAAAAAAAAAAAAAGAAGAAGAAGAAGAAGGGTCGTTAAGGCAAGACAGGGGCATGTGATAGGGGATGAACCTTCTGAAGTGGATATCTGATCATGGTAGGTTCTGTAGACAGAGTAGATGGGAAGTCTTAGAAGGGGTTGAGCAGAGCAGTGGTATGAGCTGACACATACATTAGAGGAATCACTATGGCTACAGTATGTAGAATATGTTATAAGAATAAGGTAAGAAACCAGTCAAAAGATTTATAATCTGTGTTGGACTCTTTTTTTTTTTTTTTTTTTTTTGAGACAGAGCCTCAAGCTGTCCCCCTGGGTAGAGTGCCGTGGCATTACAGCTCACAGCAACCTCCAACTCCCGGGCTCAAGCGAGTCTCCTGCCTCCGCCTCCCAAGTAGCTGGGACCACAGGCGCCCGCCACAACGCCCGGCTATTTTTTGGTTGCAGCCATCATTGTTGTTTGGCGGGTCCGGGCTGGGAATTCGAACCCGCCACCTTAGGTGTACGTGGCTGGTGCCTTAGCCGGTTGAGCTATAGGCCCCGAGCCCTGTGTTGGACTCTTAACACTCATAATGTCATTGTCCCGCATTCTAGCCTCCTGTTTTGATTTCTCTTCTGTCAAGTGTACCAAGTGTTCAGGGTGGTATTTTCTTTCTCAGATCTAATTGTATGCATCACATACCAGGATTATTTTCAGCTACTGTGTTTCTTCTGGCCCTGAGTTAACTCTATAGCTTACTTATGCCAGCTCCTCAGTTACATCTTTTAGAATGGTTTTCTAAAAGGTTACTAGTCGTAAGCTTTACATTGGTTGCTCATGGTTTTAAAGAAGCCATCGTGTTCATAACCAAAAGGAAATTTGCAGATTAAAAGATAATTTAGGGCTCAGCACCTATAGCACAGTGGTTACTGCACCAGCCACATACACCAAGGGTGGCAGGTTTGAGCCCAGCCCGGGCCAGCTAAACAACTGCAACAAAAAAATAGCCAGGCATTGTGGTGGGCACTTGTAGTCCCAGCTACTTGGAAGGCTGAGGCAAGAGAATCACTTACACCCAAGAGTTTGAGGTTACTGTGAGCTGTGACGCTACAGCACTCTACCAAGGTGACATAGTGAGACTCTGTCTCAAAAAAAAAGTATTAAAAGAGTATTTTTATACTTACACTATTTTATTACTTTAATGTTTCGGTGTGGGGTGTATGAGGGTACTGCCAAATGTCTCCAAAAGTCCCCACCTCTCTTGCACTGGGGATTAAGTTTTCAGCTATTGTGTTTCTTCTGGCCCAGTTAACTTAGGGCTCATGTAAGTGGGCTTGCTCTCTCTTGCACTCATGCTCTTCTACCTTCTGCCATGTGATAATGCAGCAAGAAGGCCCTTACCAGATACTGGCACCTTGATCTTAGACTTCCCAGTCTCTAAAACTACGAGAAAATAAATTTTTCTTCATTGTAAGTTACTTAGTCTGTAGTATTCTGTTAATAGCAGCACAAGCAGACTAAGACAAAATGTGTTTTCAACAAAATAATTAGGTGGGTCTCTTCCCAGCCCAGTTGGGAATCTTATCCCACCTGTACCCAGGTGGAATAAAACCATTTTAATTGCACAAACTGGGCCTCCATTTTCATTTCGTCTTGCTCCTGAGAATAATCTTTCATCTTTGGCTCCATAACCTTTCATTTGGTGCCAAACCCGGGATGGGGAGAAACCCCTTTGGAGGGCAGAAGTATATCCCATCGGACCCAGCTAAAGGGACCCTTCTGCTGGCGAAATGAAAGAAAACGGTAAACCTCTCCGACCCTGCCGAAACTTCATCCATCTAACAGAGAAAATAATGAATGTCAAAGGAAAAGTAATTCTGTCAATGCTGGTTGCCTCGACTGTGATTGTTGTGTTTTGGAAATATATCAACAGCTTAGAAGGCTCTTTCTTGTGGATATACCGCTCGAAGTGAGGTAAGAAAAGTAAAAGCAGTTCAAGAGAGTCTGTCCTGGCCACCCTGTGTAGGCTTCAGCCAAGCTTCAGGCGTTTCCGTTGTCTGCGTGTTTCTCCCCTGACATACTCGGGGCCTAGATTGTAATCTATGATGTTATGTCTCATTCTTTATTTTATGACCCTCACTCTCTGTCTTATGACCCTCACGTGCACTCCCACCCTGAAAGGTGGATAAAAAGAGGCAAGAGAGGCTC